AGAGCCAGCTTTTTCCGGGATAGAGGGAGGGGGGAGGCAGGCAGGTTCTTTGCGTTCTTGTCCTCTGAGAAGAACAAGGCTTCCTTGTTAGAGTCCCCAAGGAAAAAGGGGCAGGCAGCCACAGAGGCGCGTGAGGCTGAGTCAGGGGACTGGCCACTGGACAAAGGACAATTTCGAGGCACTGGGGAGGTGGGAAGTAACATATCAACCGTGAGCTGACACTGGATGGGGCGGCAGCCTCTGTGAACACCTGGCCTGCCGCCTCCCGTATACCAGGGACAGAAAACAACAGGTCATCCAATAAACCCAGCCTCCTGGGGTGTGTCCTCACTTTCAGCCCTGAATGAGTTTTAGAAAGGGGTGGTGAGAACTCGAACCAGCAATAGCAATAAGGCTGGTGACAGCTCCCCTTTGCCCCCTCCCTTTTTCGACAGGTATGTGTTGTGCACCTGCAGTGGGCAAGTCATGTTCTGGACCCCCAGGACACAAGGGCTACAGCTTCTGCCTCTTCCTGTGCATGTGCGTACCTGTGTGTTTTATGGAGGGTCATGGACGAAATGGATAATGAACAACCGAAGAAATCAATAGTGATTTTGACTCTCCCCTTCTCCTTATACCAGACCACACCCCTCCTCTGCCCCAAACCCTCCATGGTCCCCACCTCACTTGGGATAGAAGGCCATATGACCAGAAGCCAACAGCCAGCAAGAAAGGGACCCCCAGTTCTATAAAAACAGGAAAATAAATCCTGTGACAATCTGGGGGAGCTGAGAGTGGACCCTTCCCCAGTCCAGCCTCCTGATGAGGCCCAGTGCTGGCCAACACCGTCAGTGCAGCCTGAGCAGAGAACCCTGCTCTGTGGCCTGAAGACCATGCGTTGTTTTAAGCCATTGCTTTTGGGGGAATTTGTCATGGAGCAGAGAGAACCAGCCTCCTGCATGGATGGCTGCCTACCAGCGTCCACATGCACCTCCCACCACAGCCTCACACTCACAATGCCAAAAATAAACTTTTTTTTAAAAAAAAATTCTTTATTTTTAGAGAGGGGGAAGGGAGAGAGAGAAGAGGGAGAGAAACATCAATGTGTTGAGAGATAGATCATCAATCTGTTGCTTCTCACACGCCCCAGCTGGGAGCCTGGCCTGCAACTCTGGCATGCGCCCTGACTGGGAATGGAACCTGTGATCTTGTGATTCACAGGCCAGCACTCCAATCCACTGGACCACACCAGCCGGGGCCAAAGCTAAGCTCCTGATCTTCTCCTAAAACCTGCCCCTCCTGCATCTTCCCCCTCCTCCTTACAGAAGCTCCATCCTCCAGGTTCTCTGGCCCAAATCCTGGAGGCGGCCTCAACACATCTAGTTCCCTCAATCTCCGTACTAAATCTACTCCAAACTTGTGGAATCCGTTTTAAAAATACACCCAGAACCAACCTGTTTATCAACACCATCCTCCAGCTCCACCTGGGTGGAGCCCACCAGCTCTCCACATTATTCTCCCCCAGCCCCCCACCCCCTGTCCCCTCATCCCTCCCCGCAGCCTTACCCACTATTCTTTCTGGACTACTTCAGTCCCCTCCACCCGGGCCTCCCAGCACCGCCCACGGCCTGTTACCCCTGCAGCCAATAAAAGGAGCTCGTGAGCCCTTGAATCAGATTTGGCCCTCGGACCTCACAGCCTGTCCTCCCAGCGGTAGCCACCAGACGGCGCCAGAGAGCACCGAGTGGGCCTGGTCCTGCTCTGCCCACGGCCCTCCATGGCTCTCACACCCCTTAGGGTAAACAGCCCAAGTCCTCCCACAGGACCCTGCACGACCTCCTCTGATAGTTCTTTGCTCTCATTTCCTCCCTCTCACCCCCTCACTCATCCCTCCCGGGTCACATCCACCTTCCTGCTGTTCCCCCAACATGCCAGGCACTGTCCAGCCTCTGAGCCTCTGCTGGTGCTGGTGCTGTGACTTCTGCTTAGCATGTCCTTGCCCTAGACCTCACCCTGGCTCCCTCCTCACCCCCTTTAGGTCTCTGCTCCACTGTCACCTTCTCAGCAAGGCTTCCCCTGACCACCCCATTGCAAACTGCAAACTCCCTGCACCTCCAACTCCTCCTTGCCCTCCATCTTTTTTTCTTGGCACTATTTACCTTCTAAAGTAATGTAAAACTCATTTATTTGCCTCTCCGGACAGAGACGTGAAGAAGGGAGTTTATGTGTTTTGATCATACCTGTTTACCCAGCACCTGCCAGTCAGTGCCTGGCGCACAGAGCGAAAACAGATAAATACTGGCTGAGCGAGTGACTAGGAGAAGGCTATAATTTAGGGAACACCAACTGTATTGATTCTTCAGGATCCTGAGGCCCAGGGAGGCGGCGTTCCTCCCCTGGAGCCTTACACTGTCACTCCAAATCCAGCCCCCTATCCCCCCTTTTCTGATTTGCTCTCTTCTGTCAGTGAGTCAGGCTGGATTAAAAGCGTAGCTTATTTGCATATGCTTTAAATGAAATAGGAGCTCATTTACATGTCATTTACTTGGCATCTGGGGAAGAGCTCTGAGCTGAATGTGAGTCACGCAGAGAAGCGGTGCCACCAGTGGGGGACCTGTGGAGGGGGGCTGATCTCTGTCTGGTGAGGCAGGCTGGCCCTGGGGTCCTCAGAGCTGCCCCTCACCGGCCCAGGCGACCTATCCACTCTGGCTCTTCTCTGTGTTAGCTCCCGTTTCCTTCCCAGGCCCCAGTGGGGGAGCAGGCGGCTGGGACCGGGTCCAGGCTGGAACCAGTGTCTCCAGTGGTCTGCACCCCACAGCTGGCATATGAGGCCTGGGCATGCGGCGGGCTGGGTTCGGGCAGCCACCTCCAGAGGGACATTTGTCTTTCCTGTGCCTGGCTGACCTCAGTGGTGGGGCCCCTGGGCGCCTGCCCTTTTCTGGCCAGTCTTGGTCAATGGGAAGCTCCGCCTGGTCATCTCCCTCCTCAGTGCACAGTTCTGTCCACAGCTCTGGGGTTTCTGCTGCTTCTAGAAAAAAATGGCTTGTCTAATTTGGGGGCTCACGGGTGACTGAGGGTGGAGCTGACTGTGGGCTCATTTGTTGTCCAAGGTACCCGTGTGGAGGGAGGACAAGTAGAGGCATCCGGGTGGAGAGAGGGCAGATGCAGACCCTGAGGCGGGAGCTGTCTAGGTGGCTCAAGTTGGCTGATGTGGCCAGAGCAGAGTGAGCAAGGCCTGAGGGTGGGGGCAAGGGCAGAGGGCTCAAGAGAGCTGTGTGTGACAGTGGGAGCTTGGCTTTTATTCTTAGGGCTGTGGGCATCCACCATAGATTTTCAGTGTCCCCAGAAAGCTGAGTTGGGGTTAGAACCTGGAAGAAACCTTTGACCCTCAACCCTCATCTTTGATCTTCCTTTTTTCTTTTTCTTTAAAGATTTTTATTTATTGATTATTAGACAGAGGGGAAGGGAGGGAGAAAAAGAGGGAGAGAAACATCAGTGTGTGGTTGCCTATTGCATGCCCCCTACTGGGGACCTGGCCCGCAACCCAGGCGTGTGCCCTGGGTGGGAATTGAATCAGCAACCCTTTGGTTCACAGGCTGGTGCTCAATCCACTGAGCCACACCAGCCAGGGCTGATCTTCCTTCTTTTCTAATACAAGCATTTAAGGCTCATTTTTATGATCTTTCACATAGACTGTAACATTTTGATTAAAAAGTTTAAAAGTTACTGAATGTAACTTATTAAATTTAATCAATTAATTACAATTGGATTGGGGAGTGAATGGTGCAGCATGTGCATTATAATTCAATACAGTTGTTAAAAAATTACAGTGCCAAAGGGCCCAGCAATACAGCTGTAAACAAGGACACCATGGAAGGGACTGGACTGAATTCTGTTCAGCCAGGTTTCCGAGCCCGGCTTTGCAGCCTGACCAGGGGTAGCCTTTGGTGCAGGCAGGGATGTTACTCTAGATTAACTCTAGATTGGACTGGAGCAAATTCCTGTTGGCTTCTGGGAGGCGGTGGCTGTGCTGGAGGACCGTGCTGCCTCCTCGCTACCCTCGCTCCTGCCCTAGAGCCTTCGCCCAGCCGTTCCCTTCTGCTCTTCTCATCCCTTCTCAGCGCAGCAGCGCGGTGCCCTCTCATCCTGCCCTCGCTGGCACTCGGCTGTCCTCTCACTGCTGCCTTGAACTCCTGACCCTGCTCTGTGTTTCACGGCACATTTAACACCCTGTAGTACACTGTGCTCACTTATTGCTTTTTGTTTATTTTCTCTCTCTCCTCCTGAGAACATCAGCTCCCTGTCTCCCATGTTGTGACCCCACCAACCCAAACAACTTAGTACACAGTTGGTGCTCCATGAATGCTTACTGGACAAAGGAAGGAAGTAAGGAAGCAAGGAAGGAAGGAGGGAAGGAGGGAAGGAAGGAAGAGAAGAGAAGAGAAGAGAAGAGAAGAGAAGAGAAGAGAAGAGAAGAGAAGAGAAGAGGAAAGAAAGGCAGGCTTCTTGGCCCAGTGGCAAACTTGCTGTGGACCCGGGGCCGCACCTCAGTTTCCCCGGCTGCAGAAATGGGGTCATGCCGCCCGTGACCTCACCAGTCCCTCCTGCTACAAGGCTGTGGGTGTTGTGTTTGTGGCTCCAGCTCCCCCGGGGCCTGCTCTGGCCCCAGCTGCCCAGCTCCACCGTCTCCCAGGGGACCCGCTCTGCTGACACCGGATTCTTCCCTGGACTGTCCAGCCATCTGGCCGACACTCGATCCCAGCCCCACTTCCAGGCCGGCGTCTGTCGACCGGCCTGCTTGGGCCAGGGCCCCAAGACTCCCTGCTGAAGGACAAGGGGCCGTCTGTGAGGTCCCCGGGAGGGTGTGGTGAGCCCAGGGCTCTGCCAACACAGGCAGGAGCCTCGAGGACTGGGGACGGTGCCGGAACTTGCCGCCCAGAGCCACTGTGGCCAAAGAGGCAGCATCCAGTGCGGGTGCTGAGCAGCCCCGTCCTCCCTGCTGCAACCGGCTCCTGCCCGCCATGGGGACCCTCAGCTGCAACCCCGCTTCCCGGCTGACCACAGTGCCCCTGGGCCGGCGGGCCACGGAGTGCCAGATTCCAGAGACCGGCCTGAGGAAGACCTGCAGGATGGCCACCTTGGAGAACGGTACATGCAGACCATGGAGGAGGGGGGCCTCGGCAGTGGGGCCCTTTCTGGGAGCCCAGCGGGAAGGCGGGAGCCTCTGTGGAGAGTGTCCGCCCTTCAGTGTTCTGTCCAGTAGGACAGGGTGATCACAGCGTTTCTGTGGCCCCTGAATGTGCCTCCACCCAGCGGGAACTGAGCATTTTGTGGGCCATGTGCCCTTCTCGGTGCTGAGCACACAGCCAGGAACCAAGCAGCCCAGGGCCCGTGGGGGATGGTGCCAGGCGAACCAGGGGGAAGAGTTTGTGGTGTATTAGCCAGTGAGCCGAATATCCCAACTGTGACATGCACTGTCCCAGTTATGGTCCTGGCCCCCGCCTCAGTTTCCCCGTCTGTAACAGGACGTCTGGAGTCAGGCCCCATGGCAGTATTTCCTGCCTCTTGTGGCACTGCCATTCCTGCAGAGGCCACCAAACATTGCGGCTGTGATACTGTCTTGGTGTCTGGGCCTCAGTTTCCCCACCTGTGACAGCGCGTGTCTGCGTCTGGGCCTCAGTCATCCCATCTCATATGCCTCAAAGTGGGAGGAGGAGGCTGGCCCCGCAGCCCCTCCCGCTGTGATTCACGTCCGACACACAATGCTTGTTGGCAGCGGGCAGCTCCTGCTCCCCCCACCCCTGCCATGGAGGATGGCTGGTGGCCAGGGTGGGGGCTCAGGGGCTGGGCCCTGAGCTCCCCATCACATTTCAGGGGACTCAGGCCCAGGCTGTGACCAGAGAGCTTTGGTTGCAGGCTCTGGGCCGGGCTTGTATGCCCTGCCATCCACTGTGGGCTACATCGACCATGACCGCACCAGGGCGGCCGGTCCCGCCTACTCGCTGCTCCGGAGACCCAGTGAGGGTAAGGCTGGTTGGGGGCAGGGACTCGGGGGTGGGATGGGGGTTCTGTGAGGCCTCCTGAACCTCCGTCCTCCTCCCAGGGAGCATTTTCTCACTTGATAGATCCAGGCTCCACTGAGTGAGTCAGGAATCCGGCTGGGTCACTGGACCCCTGGCTTGCTCTGTGACCTCAGGATGCCATGGTGCCTTTCTGGTCTTCTGCTTCCTTATCCAGAGAGAGTGGAAGGAGTAGTGTGGGGTCAGGACCTGCATTTGCCTCCTGCATTTTGCACATTTCTTGCCGCTTGACTGCTCCGTGCCTCTGTTTCCTCCTCCGTAAACAATAGCAATACACTCCTTGCCCAGTTGTCTGGGTTAAATGAAAGTTAAATGCCTTAAAAGTAGCTGCAATGCTGGGTATCTTGTCAGTGCTCAGAAAACTGGGCTTGGAGAGTGAGTGTCAGCCCCAGTATCTCCATGAACAAGCCAGGTGGCTCCCCAGGCCTCAGCAACCTCACAGCATGAGATGAGGGTAGAATGAAAACTCCTGTTGTTTAGGCAGGCAGGGGTGGAGAGACCGCAGGCTGTGGGCCTCGCCTGGTCAGTGGGTGACCTGACCTCTGTGATGTCCGCTTTTCTCCTGGCCAGAATGTGTGTGAGGGAGTACCGGGCACAGGGATGCGGGTGGCCGCTAGCCACGGTCAGCTCCCTGCAGCTATCAGTGGAGTTATCCCCATTCATCCGTAAGCCTGTGCTTCTCATATCGATGCCCACATGCCCCCTCAGCCCATTTTCCAGAGCTGCTCTGAGGTCCCAATGAGGCCAGAGCAGGGACCACGAGGGTCCTGCGTGTGGAGTTTGATTCTCGTGGATAGAGGTTGGGAGGGAGTGGCTGGCAGAGGCGCTTTCAGAAGCAGCAAAAATCCCAAACCAACTGAAAGAGAACTCGGAGAGTGTCAAGAGGCCCCAGAAGACAAGTGAGGGAATCCATGTCACACCTGGCACCAGGAAGGTTAGGAACTTAGCCTAGGGCTCAGAGCAACCTGAGTTCCCAAGTCTAATTCTAGTCACAGGACACCCATGGGGAACCAGGAATCAGGGTGGGCATGGTTGCTGTAGACTTTTCTGAATGCTCAGGAACTTCCTGGAGGTGGAGGCATGGGGTCTGGGCTTTGTAGGATGAGTAGGAGTTCACTGGAGCCCCCGGGAGAAGAAGGGGCTCCAGGAGAGCCTGCAGCGTAGACAAAGGCCTGGAGGTGGGAAGCGGGCTGAGTCGGGATGTGCTCATTTACCAGGAACACGTGTCATGTGTGTGCTGGTGTCATGTGTGTGCACACACATGTTCACATGTCAATCAATTAACACTTGTCAAACTTACTGTACATTTGTACCTGAATGTGCTTATAACTAATAGCAATGGCCTTCACAGTCCTTGGTCCCAATGACTAAGTGCCAGGCATGGGACCACCCCTTCCCTGGATGGCCTCATCCTTCAAGCTTCACATCCCACTACTGAAGAAAAGGAGGCGTGGACGGGTCCAAGGACACGCTCACAGAGGCCCTGCTGGGACTTCACTGTGACTCAAAGCCCCTCCCTTCAGCGCGCCCATGCCCACAAGCCCAGGCACTAAAAGGGCCCTCCCCAGACTCCCCGTCGGAGTCTAGTCACTCTCACTTTCTGTGCAATTCTAACTAGCGCGCGAGCTGGTTTCTCTAGAGCTGGTGCCCCAGCCTGTGACAGAGGAGAGGTTGGGGGGTGGCACAGCTTCCTTCGGGGAGGTGGGCACAAAAACACTCATTAAGACAAAGTCAAAGTAGAGGTCCAGGTCCCAGGTCGGGGCCATCAGGCCTCCGCAGGCTGGGGCCCCTGCTCCCCCGCATGGGGCCGAGGGCTGCCCGGAGGCTGGAACGACTCAGCAGCACCGAGAGGGGGCGGTGGGGCCACCAGAGGGGCACTCAGGACCCTGGGCCCCTCTTCCCAGCATCTCCACAGGACACCAGCCCTGGGCCAGTCTACTTCCTGGACCCCAAAGTCACCCGGTTTGGTCGAAGCTGCACCCCTGCCTACTCCATACAGGGCCGGGGCAAGCCTCGGGGTGAGTATGTGACTGTGCTACCCCCTGAGGGCCCTGTCCCTTCAGGGTCTCAGTGGCTCTCCTGCCTCTGTCCTCTCCTTCCGCTCCTATCCCCAAGTTCTTAGAATGTCAGTGTCGTTGGAATGACAAAACCCAAGGTCTCCGAAGAGGGGCTGGGGGCCCTAAGAGGACCTGAATGAGTGAAGTGGGCCAAGGCGATGGCGAGCGACTCTGCACACACGGGGCCGAGAGGACAGCTAGGGCTCATCCTCAGCACCAGGAGACAACAGGGAGTAGAGGGGACTGTAGCAAATGTGGAAATCCCCTTCACAGGCTGTGAACAGCTTACTTTCACCTAAAGTACCTGATTTAATCATCGGACTCCAGTCTCCCATCCGCTCACCATGCATCTTTCCATCTCTCACCCCTCTACTCTATCTGCTACTCACTCACCCACTGACCCATCCATCCATCCACCCATCTGTCTACTCATCAGTCTATCAACCCATCCACCGGTTCATCATCCAACCCACCCATTAGTCCATTTATCCAGCCACTGCCGCATCCACCCAGCCACCCACCCAGGATCCATCTGCTACATACCCCTGGAGCTGTTCATCTCCGCATGCACCTCTCCCCCACCACTCACCGCCCATCCTCTACTCTCTCATCCTCCCAAACACGTACAGACCAGCAGATGGGAGTCAAAGAAGATTTGATATGTCCTTGCTTTGTACGAGGCCCCAGGACGGTGGGGTTAGACCCAGTTGGGGCCCATCCCACTTCCGTGTGGCCGTGTCTGGAGACAGGGGAAGACGTAGACTCGTCCTGGAAGGGCTGTGAGGCGGGGGGCAACAGGGAGGAGGGTCGCTGGGGCTCTCTGGGAGGACAGGAAGCAGCTCCCGGGTGGTGGGAATGGGAAACAGAAGGCTTGCCTGGCAGAGGGTGGAGCTTGGGCAAAGACGGAGGCCTGAAAGAGAATAGACCATGTGGCAGGGTAGGGAAGGGGGAGAGCTAACCCGGGGCATTCTCAGAAGTGCTGTGAGCTCCAGGACGCATGTGGGCAGTGGGGCGCCGTGCACTGTCCTTGATCAGGCGGACGCTCTGTCCACTGCCAGCCTTCCTGCCCCGCTTTCACAGGTCTGGAGGTGACACCCGGGCCTGGGGCCTACAGCCCAGAGAAGGTGGCCCCTGTGCGCCAGCGGACCCCTCCGGCTTTCACCCTGGGCTCCCGCCTGCGTCCACAGCCTCTGGACACCTCAGCCCCTGCCCCCAATGCCTACACCTTGCCCTCTCTCTGGGGCGCCCAGATCTTCATCAAGCCCAGTAGCCCCAGCTACACGGTGGTGGGCCGCACACCCCCTGCCCGCCCTGCACAAGACCCTGCTGAGATCCCCGGCCCAGGCCAGTATGATAGCCCAGATCCCAACGCCTACCGTCAGCGCCGGCCCGCCTTCACCATGCTGGGGCGGCCCCGTGCCCCGCGCCCCCCCGATGAGACGCCTGGCCCTGGCACCCACAGCCCCGAACAGGTCACCATTACCAAAGCCAGGGCCCCGGCGTTCACCATGGGCATCCGACACTCCAAACGGGCCTCCACCATGGCCCCAGACATAACACCCTGACGCCTGTGGGGGACAGGATGCAGGCCAGTACCCGGGTTGAGCCCCAGTTTTCCTGCACCCTGAAGTAGAGTGTGGGCAGGCCCCTCCTGGGCCTGGCTTTCACTGGGGTGGGACAACTCAGAGAAGCTGCACTGTCTGAGGTCCTTCTAGGCCACCTGCTTCCTCCAGTCCCTGGGGGCTGTGACCCCATGGCCCTCTGCAGGGTGAGCCTCCTTCCAGCGCCCCAGTTTCTTCTCTCCTGGTCATGCCAGCCTAAGCAAGGCCAGGTAGAGAAAGGGACACCCCTGGCCCTCCCCAGTGGCTGGCTGGAGATGGAGCTTCCTGTGTCCTAGAACTTGGCGTCCGCCCTGCTAGGGCCTGGGTCCCCCAAACAGCTCAGGTTTCTGCCAAACTTGGGCTCTAACCTGTTTCTCATGGAAGCACAGCTTCCTGACCTGGTCCCAGCCCAAAACCAGGCTGGAAGCAGCCCTGATGCCCCCCTCTCCCCACCCCACGCACTAGCTGCTTGACAATAAATCTCTGTGGCACCAAGAGCTGTCAGCAGCACACGTGGGGCTCATTTAATCCAGGTCTGTTTACATCACAGAAGATGGGAAACACTGCTCTCAACAGCCAACCTCCCCATCTGTAGCCGCCTGGGGTCTGGATGGGACCAGAGGAGGCATCCAACTGGGGGAAGGCAGAGGTGGAGCCAGAGCTTTGAGTGGGGCAGTCAGGTAGGCTTCTTGGAAGAGGGGACATTGAAGCTGGGTTTTGAAGGATGTATAGGAGTTTGATGTATTCTAATATCCATCAGATTTCGATAAAGGCCATTTAAGCTTCACAGCAAGTCAGAAGGTAGGTGATGCTTGCTGAGAGGAAGTTGGGATTCAGGGACTGGGTGCTGGTCTAAGGGCACACTATAAGCCCTAGTGTTGCTTAATGCCAGGATCTGAATTCTGGCCTCTGGGCTCTGCTCCTGCCATTCTTTCCTAGGGACGGTGTCATGTGACCAAACCCTGTGTGTGATGACACCTAAGCCCAGGCCTTAAAAACTGCCACCCAGAAAGACTCTAACTCAGGAACTTGTGAGGGAGAGATGGCCATTACTCATTTCCCTGGAGAAGGTGGCCACAGGGGCAGCACACAGGGCCTGAGGGGGTGTTAGTTCTTTTCTAACTGTCCCTTCCCCAGCCGGGGCATGCCAAAGTCGCACATACACCCTTTGGACACACGTCAAGATCTCCACACACATGCACGGACACACACCAGGCCCCTACACACCCACCTTGAAATGCACATGGACCCCCTAATCATATACTGGGAGAACCAGAACCCCTCCTCACATGCACACACATGTTCATATCTGCACACAATACACATACAAAGCCAACCCTCATACAGATCAAATATATATAAATCACAAAAGACACACAGCACACACAGTCCAGGTCGGGGCTCCCAACCCCGACATGCCTCTCCCCCAGCACAGACCCAAAGGCCGACCCTCTGCACTCACACACCCCAGACCCCGCGGCCCCGAGGAACAATAGCGACTGCAGCGCGGCACCCACAGCGTCTAGCAGCAGCGCTGACTCTTTCGCTCCCCCGCCACTCCTCCCGCTTGCAGGCCAATCGCGGCCCGGCCCAACCCCCCACCACACCCCCCATAGCCCAGAGCCACCTCCTACCGGCTTGCGGCGGCCGGCTGGACTGTGATCTCATCCCTCTGATTTATTGATCCGGCTCCAAGGGCCTCGCCCCTCTTTCCTCACCTGCCTGCGCGCCCCGGCCCCCTCCTTTTGTTTCCCAGCAGTCAGCCCTGCCTGGGGTGGGGCCGGAGGGTGAGGGTGATCGGTCCAGACCGACTAGTAAGCTCGGTCCTGGGGTGACGGTGACACCCAGCTCCCCCATAGAGAAGGAATCAAGCCTTGAGGCTTGGGTGGGGACGAAGACGCTGGGACCGGTGGGGCCGCCGGGGAGGCTGAGGCCCAAGGGCTCAGTGGGGTTGTTGCCGGGCAGGGCTCCCCTGGAACGGAGCAGCCCATGACCTTCTAGCCCCTGTCCCTGGCTTACAGCCTGGGAAACTGAGGCCCAGGGAAAGGCAGCAGAGTAGGAACTATGCTTCGCTCTGAGGCTCCCCACCTCCCAGACCCAGCCAGCCCAACCCGGCACTCCTGGGTCCAAGTCTCCGCAGTGTGCCCCTCTCTGGGCCTCAGTTTCCCCATCGGGGCCTGATTTTTCAAGTATCTTCCGGCTGAAACAATGGGAATGGAGGTGGCTGATTTTGGGGTTAAGGCTCTCTTCCCTGACCGAGCCTCCACTCCTCTCCAGGCCTCAGTTTCTCCATTAGTCAGGGAGGAAGGAAGGGAGGTCATTTCTAAGTCTCTCCCACCTCTGTCATTCGAGGAACTTGGTCGATGGGTGGGGGGCGAAGTGGGGATCCCTGTTCAGGTCCTGGGTTGGAAACACCTCCCTCCCGGGCTGTCCGCTCCGAGTCAGCTCGGTGCCCTCGGCGGGCCTCAGTTTCCCCAGCCACCCCGCCAGGCGCCGGAATGCCGGGGGCCGGGGTCCCAGGGGCGCAGCCCCCCGCGGCTGCGCGCTGGGCCGGGCGGATGACATCACCGGGCCGGGGGCGGGGAGGGAACGAGAGGGAGACAGAGGGCCTCCTCCGCGCCAGGCTCAGCGCCCGGTCGGGCTCGGTCCGGCGGCCGCGGCCATGACGCAGGGTCCGGGCGGGCGCGCGCCCCCCGCACCTCCTGCGCCCCCCGAGCCCGAGGCGCCCACCACCTTCTGCGCGCTGCTGCCGCGCATGCCGCAATGGAAGTTTGCGGCTCCGGCCGGCTTCCTGGGCCGCGGCCCGGCTGCGTCGCGGGCGGCGGGGGGCGCGGGGGCCACGGGAGGCGCCGATCCCCAGCCGGAGCAGGCCGGCCCGGCTAGCGTCCCTGCTCTGGCGGCCGCGGTCCTGGGTGCCTGCGAGCCGCGCTGCGCCGCACCCTGCCCCCTGCCGGCTCTCAGCCGCTGCCGAACTGCCGGGACGCGGGGGTCCCGGGGCACGCGGGGGGCTGCCGGGCCCCCAGACTCCGTCGCTGACGAGTGGATTCGCAAAGGCAGCTTCATCCACAAGCCGGCGCACGGCTGGCTGCACCCAGACGTCAGGGTCCTGGGGCCCGGGGTCTCCTACATCGTTCGGGTGAGTGCGCTGGCCAGGACCGCTGGGATGCCATCCGCGGACCCTCCAACCTGGGGACCGGGGCTCCCTTCCCTCACTTCCCTGAGTCCCGGACCCTGAGAACCAGGTATCTCCTTTCCATCCTTCCATCTCTCCCCACCACTCTGGACCCCCACCTCCAGCCAAAGCTCCGCTGGGCGCCCCCAGCCGGGAAGCGCTGGGGTCTGGGTTCCCAAGGTGTCATGTGACTAGAGGCGGGGAGAGGGCTGCAGGTGGGTGGGGGACACGCATGCGCAGGTTAAGCATTTCCCCTCCCAATCCCGATAGCGCAGGAGAGTTTAGACGGTGGGAAGGAAGGTGGGGGCATCCTGCTACCTAGACCCCCATTAAAAGCTCCTTCGTAGAAGACAGAATCGGAATCTACCGAGATTTTGGCTTGAGGTGGGGGCGGGGGCTCCCGGTAAGGGGTATCTGCAAACGGGCCGCGCCCAGTCGGACCTTAGGATTCGAGATGTGAGACTGGGGACCTCGAACATTGTGTAAAAGGATGGGTCTTTATCCTAGCTTTTTTATTATAAACCTTTCAAACACTCGGAAAAGCTGGACGAATGCATCGCCTGTGCGCCTGCAACCGTGACTGTTAAAATGTCTGGAGGCAATTTATCCCTGTGCAGGGTTTGGTGAACCACTAGGAGGTTGCCCGAGCGTGACCTTCGCTGTTAGAAGCGTGCGCAAGGTCTCGCGAGCTAGTGGTCCTGCACACCCACAGTCCACCCTTTCATGTCCGAAAATTACCAGGCATCCCAAGGTGTCATTGACCGTATGGCGGAATTCACATCTCTGCTGGCCTTTGGGTTACCAGCACCCTGGAAGTTGAATGTGATTAGTTGTGCCTTCGCTGCTTTGCCACAGTCTCCTCCTCCGGTGCTGTGCTGAATACTTCCCCTCAAATTCATGTCTGTTGAACCTGCGAATGTAGCCTTCTTTGGAAACAGGGTCTTTGTAGATGTAGTCAAGTTAAAATGAGGTCATCCTGGAGTGAGGGGGGGCCTAATTCAATGACAGGTGCCCTTATAAGAAGAGGGACATCTGGACACAGACATTTAGGGAGAAGGCCGTGTGAAGACGGGGCAGACACCGGACTGATGTGTCTGCCAGCCAAGGGTTGCCGGCCACCACCACTGGGAGCTGCATGAGACAAGGAGTGGCCCTCCAGGAAGCCTTCAGATGGAGTGCAGCTTGGCTAACACCTTGACTTTGGACATCTGGTCTCCAGAACTGGAGAGACTACATCCCTGTTGTTTTAAGCTGCCCAGTTTATAGTGTGTTGTTACAGCCGCCCCAGGAAAGCAACACATTGGTTAAAATGACATTTGTCCCTAGTAAAGTCACCATTTGTTTCCTTTATAATTAATACGTATCTGTGGGACGTACTGTTTTTCTTGGTCAGACTGTAAAATCTTGGGACAACACACATACAGTACAGTGTGTAAGCAGGCCTCAGGTGCCTGGTGCCCTCCTGGCTGGCACCCCCACAGCACTCCCACTACCCCAGCTTCCATCACCATAGTTCACCTTAAAAATTGCAGTAAAATTCACATAACACATTTAATCATCAATCATCCTAAAGTGAACCACTCAGTGGCATTTAGTACATTCACAAGGTCGTGAGCCATCACCACTCTCTGGTCCCAGAACGGTCCATCTCCCTGATGGGGAGCCCTGTCCCAGTGAGCAGTCTCCCCATCACCCTCCCCCCACCCCCAGCCCCTGGCAGCCACAAACCCTCTCTCTCGTCTCTGTGGATTGGCCTATTCTGGACATTTTGTGCTGGTGGAGCTGTGTGACA